CCCCCCACCTTGTGCTCTTACTCTTTCTCAAATAAATAAATAAAATCTTAAAAAAAAAAAAGAAATTCAAAACATCTTTTGGGTCTCTGATTTCTGAACTTCTGATTTAGCAGATCTAGATTAAACCCTGAAAATCTAATTCCATTTTTTAAAAGTCTCAGGTAATTATGAAATCAGCCCCATTTGGAAACCACTACCCCAAATGAATTATCATCCAACTAGGGTCCTGGGTTATAGGAAATTTTTAGGTGTGCCATCCCAATAATTTGAAACCAATGAATCCTATTCCAGATCCTCAATTTCCACATTTATTTTTCCCCTAAAATTGGTTAGCCTAAGAACAGGCTTGAGTTCACAATAGTCTTCTCTCCACTTTATAAGATAAAGGCCTACCCTTCACTCATGCCAGAATTTACTATAGCACACTGGCCAAAAGAGAAATCCTCCTTTATTGATTAACCAAACTACCCCAAACCCATAGGGCTTTATCCATTACCTTAATTTATACACATTTCTACCAGGAGAAAATCATGATGTGGTAGGCAGAATAATGGCCTCCTAAGGATGTCCATGTCCTAATCCCTGGAACCTAAGTATGTATTAGGTTATATGGGAAAGAAGATTTAAGGCTGCAGGTGGAATTAAGACATAATCACCTGACCTTAAAATTGGCAGATTGTTTGTTCTGAATTATCCAGGTGGGCCCAAGGTAATCAAAAAGGTCTTTACAAATGGAAGAGAGATGCAGAGGAAAAGAGCCAGGAAAGAGATGTGACCGTGGAAGCTATGTCAAGTGATGCAATGTCAGGAGGACTTGACTTTGATTGCTGATTTTGAAGATGGAGGAAGGAGGATATGAACTATGGAATACAGAAAGCCTCTAGAAACTGGAAAAGGCAAGGGAACAGATTCTCTCCCAGAGTCTTCAGAAGAAATGCTGCCTTGGACACAACTTAATTTCAATCCAGAGATGTCTGCATGGAATTTCTAAACTACAGAACTACAAGAATGACAAATGAGTTGCTGAAGCCACTTGGTTGCTGGTAATTTGTTACAACAGTAACAGAAAATGAATACACAAGGTATTAGAAAAAGTGCTACTGGGGTCCATGTTGGAACATTCTAAATTCAAATGCATAGTAGAGTATGGTAGTAGTTAAGAATTTTTGTTGAAAAATGTTGCTTCTTCCACTTCTGGACTATTGTTAAAGAATATATAACTCTCAAAGGGAAAGTCTCTTGACATCATGGAAGGAGAGCGCTAGTAAAAACTCTAAAGGAAAAACATGGCTTTAAATAAAGCTTTTTAGCTATTCTCAATATATATTCCCAAGACTTGTCATTAGTTGCAGAGAGAAGCTTCACTGAACATTCAAAAGAGTAAATTTTAGAGTCACATTTTTAGAAGTTTCATTGAGATGTAATTCATACACCACAAAATTTACCCATATGAATATATAATTCAGTAGTTTTTAGTATTTTCACAGAGTTATACAACCATTGCCATAATCAATTTTAGGATATTTGATCACTCCAAAGAAGAAACCCATTCCCATTAGCAGTTACTCCTCATGTCTTCCAAACACCCCTAGTCCTACACAATCACTAATATTCTTTGTTTCTATGGATTTGCCTATTCTAGATACTTCATATAAGTGGAATCATACAATATGTGTGTGGTCTTTTGTACATGTCATCTTCCACTTACCATAGGGTTTTCAAGGTTTAGCCATGCTGTCACCTGTAACAATTCTGCATTCCTTTTTTAATCCAAATAATATTCCACTGTACAGCTATACCACAATTTATCCACTCATCAGAGGATGGACACAGGTTTCTACTTTCTATTTCATTAATTTCTGCTTTAATCTTTATTATTTTCTTCCTTCTGTTTGTTTTAGGTTTACTTTGCTCTTTTTCCAGTGTCTTAAAGTATAAAATTAGGTTATTAATTTGAGACCGTATTTTTAAATATAGGCATTACAACTATAAGGTTTCTTCTGGGTACTATTTTACTTGCATCCCATGAGTTTTAGTATGCTGTTTCTTCATTTTCATTCATCTCAAAGCATTGGCTAATTTTCCTTGTAATTTCTTGGTTGTTTATAGGTGTGTTATTTAATTTTTATATATTTGTTAATTTCCCATTATTTTTTCTCTTATCGATTTCTAATTTCATTATGTTTGGAGAACATACATTGTATGATTTCTATAATTCCAAACTTATTAAAGCTTGTTTTATGGCCTAATATATACTTTATCCTGGAGACTGTTCCATTTGCTCTTGAGAAATAAGTGTATTTTGCTATTGTGCAAGGAACATTCTATAGATGTCTGTTTGGTCGTGTTGTTTTATAGTTGTTCAAGTCTTCTATTCTTTGTTGTTTATAATTGTTTGCATAGTATATCTTTTTTCATTCTTTTACTTTCAACTTGTTTGTGTATTTAAATCTAAAGTATGTCTCCTATAGATAATATATAGTTGAATCCTTATTTTTAATATGGCAGTGTCTGCCTTTTTATTGTATTTTAATCTAATCATATTCAATGTTATTATTGATATAGTTGGATTTTTATCTGTCATTTTACTTCCTGGTTTTTTTTTGTTGTTGTTCCTCTATTCCTCTACTGCTTTCTTTTGCAGTAAGCAGATATTTTTTAGGATTTTTAAATTATTTTTATGATTTTTCCATATTTTTAAAGGTATCTTCTTGGGAGTTGCTCTAGGGCTTTCCATATAGTTCCTAACTTTTCAAAATATACTTCAGATTTATACTATTTAAGTCCAGCTAGAGATAAAAAGGTTATTCCTATATAGTTCTATTCCTTCTTCCACCCCCTCCCAATTTGTGCTGTTGTTGTTATATCTATATGTGTTACAAACCCAAAAATACAGTGTTATATTACTTTGTTTAATTTTGTATTTTTTAAAGGAGCTGAGAGAAGGAAGAGAAAATATGTATCTATAGGGTTTGTTATATTAACCTTCTTATTTATCATTTCTGATTCTTCTGTTCATTTATTTCTATGGATTTGAGTCACCACCTGGTATCATTTCCTTACCATAATATAGGTTTGCTCCCACCTGCCTCCTTTATGCTCTTATTGCCAAATATATTACATTTCTAAATGTTATAGGCTCAAAAATACAATTATATACATATGCAAATATATATATTTTTTCTTTCAGTACTTTGAATATGTCCTCCTACTGCCTTCTGGATTACAATGTGTCTGAGAAATCAGCTGTTAATCTTACTGAGGTTCCTTTATATGTGACAAATCATGTTTATCTTGTTATTTCTAAAATTTACTTTTGTTTTTGGCATTTAACCCTTTAACTATGATATGTCTGGATGCAGATATCCTTGGGTTTATTCTACTTAGAATTTGTTGAGTTTCTTGAATATGTAGATTAATATTTCTCATCAAATTTAGGGAGTTTTCAACCATTATTTCTGTTTTCTCTCTTTTTCAGACTGTATAATCTCTACTGATCATCTTTAAGTTTGCTGATTCTTTCTTCTCTCTAATATTTATTCAGTTCAATTCATAGTTTGTATCTATTTGTTGATATTCTCTATTTATTGAGACATTGTCATTATACCTACTTTAATATCTTTAAGCATGGTTTTCTGTAGGTCTTTGAACATATTATTACTGCTTAAATTATGTTTGCTAACTCTAAAATCTGAGCTCTCTCAAGGCATTTTGTTGACTACATTTATTTCTTGTGTATGGGTTACACTTTCTTGCTTCTTTGCGTGTCTCATAAATTCCTACCCAGTTTTTTTTGTTTTGGTTTTGGTTTTGGTTTTGGTTTTACTGGACAGTTTGGACAATGTGTTGTAGCAACTCTGGATCTTGATTTTTTACCCCCAGCCCCAGGATTTGTTGTTTGATTTTTAATGTTTTAATGACTTGGTTGAACTATTTTAACATAATCTACTTTCTCCCACAGTGTACAGCACGTGATGTCACTGCTTGGAGGATGCAGCCTTGATAAACCCAGAGTCATCCATGGATGACAGTGGTTTTATCAGGACTCTCTTTGTCTCTTTCCCTTGTTTCTCTGTTAAGCTCTCT